CTTGAAATGGCCAGAAATAGTACCTAAGCCCTCCATTGGAACAGAAAAGACAGTAGAAGCGCTCAAATATTTATTGTGTAAATATAGGATACCTATAACAATCATCTCAGACAACGGAACCGGAACTTCATTTACTTCGCAAGGTTTTCAAGATTTCTACCTGTGTAATAATATCAAACATAACTCCAGTAGCTCACCCAAGTTCAAATGGACAAGTGGAGAAAAATGTAGACACCTTCAAAAGAGCTCTTAAACAAACTTACAATAAAGAGCCTAGCTTATTTACAGACTATTTCAGGACATTTTTATTTCGCTATCAAGCTACACCTCACACTGCAACTAGACAAACACCTATATTTTTGTTCTTGGGACGTAATCTGCGAATTAAATTAGGTTTTATCAAACCTTCACAAGAGATAAACTCATGAGACAAACCTTCTGTGCTGAGATATACTAAAACCAGAGGCTTTTCTATTGGGAGTGAAGTGTACATTCGTACTTTTGTTGAAGAGAAAGTAAAATGGAAAAATGGTAAATAGGAACCATACTTAGGCAGTTAGGTAGGAACACATGGTTGATTGATTCTGGTGGACACACTTAAAGGCATACAAGTCAAATTCGGAATTTTTTTTCAATGCAATGAATCGGAAGAGGAAGACGACCCCTGCATTAACAAATCACCACAGCTACTGTCTTCGTCAGATTTCCAAGTACGAAATCCAGAAGTACAAGTTCTAAGTTCAGAAAACCACGGATCACAAGCTGTAATTCCTAACCCTAGAACATTCCCTGCAGTAGCTTCACAATATCCGCCTGTAACTCCTCAGCTGCGAGTATCAACAAGGAAGGACCTTCAGGCCACAGAGGAGGTCAATTGAATAAGCCTAAACTTGGTGGAAAGATTCGATATGTTTGAACATTGTTTACGTTGCAGCTGACTATTAACTTGTTATTGTTATTGTTGTTGTTACTAGTTTTTACCTATGAATAAGTTCAGTTCTATTTGATTAAACTGATTTACCTAACAATTTATGTATTTACTTCACGGAGGACAAATCAACAGATGTTCTCAATGATTGGCTAAATAGTGAATAGGAATTTATACGTTAGTTTATTGAGGACAAATCGACAGATGTTCTCAATGATTGGCTAAATAGTGAATAGGAATTTATACGTTAGTTTATTGAGGACAAATCGACAGATGTTCTCAATGATTGGCTAAATAGTGAATAGGAATTTATACGTTAGTTTATTGAGGACAAATCGACAGATGTTCTCAATGATTGGCTAAATAGTGAATAGGAATTTATACGTTAGTTTATTGAGGACAAATCGTCAGATGTTCTCAATGATTGGCTGAATAGTGAATAGGAATTTATACGTTAGTTTATTGAGGACAAATCGACAGATGTTCTCAATGATTGGCTAAATAGTGAATAGGAATTTATACGTTAGTTTATTGAGGACAAATCGACAGATGTTCTCAATGATTGGCTAAATAGTGAATAGGAATTTATACGTTAGTTTATTGAGGACAAATCGACAGATGTTCTCAATGATTGGCTAAATAGTGAATAGGAATTTATACGTTAGTTTATTGAGGACAAATCGACAGATGTTCTCAATGATTGGCTAAATAGTGAATAGGAATTTATACGTTAGTTTATTGAGGACAAATCGTCAGATGTTCTCAATGATTGGCTGAATAGTGAATAGGAATTTATACGTTAGTTTATTGAGGACAAATCGACAGATGTTCTCAATGATTGGCTAAATAGTGAATAGGAATTTATACGTTAGTTTATTAATGCCACGAGACTTTCTTAGCGTCGTAACTTTTACTCAATGCAGCATCATACTCAATACTTCCAGGTCCAGGGTCTACCATGAATCCCACTTGAATAGCTTACCTATTTCCCTAAATGGGAAACTCACTAACATTCAAAACGAGAGCACTGAATCGTAACCGGTCATAAATTTATGAAAAAATATCAAGCACTAAATTGTACTAATGATCTTAAAACGTACAGGATCCAAAGTCAACGCTATAGACTGAAGCAATGAATACACATACTAAATACAGTATAGTTCAGTGTATTCATTGACTGAAGATGGTTTAGGACTCTATGGCCTACCACACCCTGTGCTCCTGATCACTACATTGGACATACGCCGTGCCACCGGATCTGCAACCAAACGCCAACGTTTCTGGTACTTACTTACTTACTACACCCCCAGTTTTTTTTATTTTTAATATTCTTAATTATTTGTAGCTATTTTATGAGATCAATACTACAATTTTGTTAAATGGATTTTTTTTTTGCGCTGAGGCCTCCTTTTTAGCGAATTATCCATAATAAGGAATAAGCTATTACCAGTACTACTCATGGTGAGACCTGGACCCGGGACCGATTTACTTTTTTCCTTTTGAGGTCCCTAGAGGCCAAAAACACAATCTGTTGAATTCAAATTCATATATATTCACATAGGCCTATATATACCTACATATACAGTATATGTGCGAGTGTGTGTGTGTGTGTGTGTGTGTATCCGTTAGCACGATAACTCAAGCAAAAATGATCCCATTTTAAAAAATTTGGTATAAACGTGTTATACCTACCTTTATTCGAACGAGTTCGCTAACCAGCATGATCGGACCACGGGAACGGGGGTTTGTGAGGGGTTTTATGGGAGGATTTTCCCATTTTTGACCCTAAATATCTATATATATAATACGTGAAGCCGTTTTTTGTTAACGCAACTCCTCCCTTATTTGTGGACCAATTTCAACTTTTGAGGTGTCAAAAGATTCGTCTCAATATGTAGTTTTGCAATAAGATTATAGAATTTAAAAATTCCTGCTATATTATAATATTTATATTTATATTTATATTTATAATATAATATTATATATTATAATATAAAAATAATACAATTTTTAAATATCTTTCTCAATCATTCTGTTGAGCTTAAAAAAGAAATAATTTAGTATATTGAAGCATTGTTATATGCCTAATGGTTACGGAGAAAATTTAAAAAGTGCAAATTTTAAATTTCCATGTTATTCTTATGGAGAAAATGAAAACTGTTGTAGTTTACTTGTATATGGATGTATGTTGATAAAATTTGGTAAATTTATTTATTACACACTATTCAGAAAATTCAAAAAAGTGTAAATTTAAATTTCCCATGTTATTCTTATGGAGAAAATAAAAACCTGTTGTAGTTTACTTGTTTATGGATATATGTTTTGATCAAATTTGGCAAATTTATTTATTTATTATATAGGCCTACTATTGACGTTTGGTCAAAATACACTTTTTACCTTCCCCGTAGTAGCAAACATTAGCACTCGTTAAATCTAATGCTATTTAAATTGGGAATAAATATGTCTTATTTATGGAAATATTAAAAATGTAATCAGACAAGTGTAAATTCGCTACTGCGGCGGGGATTTTTTTTTAGGGAGAGAAGGGAAAATGCTTTTACGCACACAGGTAGCCAGCCAAAAAACCCCCTCTACTCTGTTGGACACGGACCTGGAATAGTTTTTCACATTACTTCAAGTCAGGCCAACATGTGACCTAAGCCCTCAGGGCTCGCACCGTTTCTGGCATTTCAAAGATTCTTTATGACCTACACCGCATCCCGGTCAAGATAGAGCTTCTTGGCGTGGAGAATACCCTGGATGTAATTTGACACACAGGTCCAATTGTCCTCACCCTCCGTCATCATCGGTATGACCGTGTCCACTGACAGCAGTTCTACTAACTGTTGAGGAAATGGATGTTGTAAATGGATTTGATTTGATTTGATTTGAGCCTCAACGCTGGGCGCTGGCAGTGGGAAAAATAAAATAAAACGCTGGCGGCGGGGAAATAGCTACAAAGGAAAATATTACTTTCATAATAGCCAGGTTTTAAAAAGGGCACTGTGTTCCTGTCTGAAAATAATGATAACTGAATTCCTCAAATATACAGGGTGAGAAATATCGTGATGATTAGGTGTACAATTCCCTGTACTTAATGTAAAATAATTTATAGAACTGTCCTTAAAGTACCAAAGATTCTAAAAGCTGTAAGAGATGCAGGACGGCGCACCTAGAGGCCGCAGAAACGTGCAGCCTCTAGGTGCACTGCGTTATATGGGGAGCTTTCGCATATTGGGAAGCATATTTTTGTACAAGTGATTTTATTGAAAAGGTGGTTTATTAGTTTATTGATGAGACTTTCTTCTCATCGAAACTTTAAATCAATGCAGCAATTTTTTTACAAATGCATACGCTGATTTGAATATATTCGTAACTCAACATCACTGTAACTTGATCAAACTTAAGTATCAAGTAAGTATTAACTTAAATACTTAAGCTCCTGGGCACACTTCTTGTTGTGACAAAGGTTCTTTGGTTAAAGTTTAGGGAAAAACAAATCATAATTCACATCTGATGGAATTGGAAAGGAACATTAGATTATTATTATGTAGGATTATATGCTTTTTTCAATTTTCTATCATGATAGTCAAAATAAATATATTAGCATATACAGTATATATATTTATACGAATGAATATATATGAAATAAATATATTAGCAACAAAGAAGAGACGTTTTCTACCAAACTCTGCGATCCTGATACCTAACCGTGGAGATACGCCGTTCTTCCACTCAACCAAGATTTCAAACGCGTTTTCCCAATTCAGTCAGCGATTTCTATACATCCCACATTAGTAGCTCTTTCGAGTTTTAAGATTAGTTTCGTTGAATTTAGAGATATAATTCAAATTATGCCTAGTTGCCCAAAAAATTGAGTTTCCCAAGTACAAATCATGTTTCGTAATGTTGACCCAAAAAATAATTATTTCATTGCCTCCTGACGATGGATGGCTTCGTGTAGGAGTTGAACCGAAACTATAGTTACACATCTGCAATTGAATGGATTGTCCAATAGCAGGTATTTACACCTTTATTATATTGTATACGTTACTACTATACGAAACTGTACTTGTTATTGTCAGTGTCGCCCCCAGAGGTCTTCTGGCCCTTCTTCTTCCTAGTTCTGCGTGGTCGGAGCCGTAGTGGTGAGTGTGTGAGGCGTGGGGGCCGCGGGGCCCGAGGTAGCTCTGTGGGGCCCCTGACATCTTGGGGCCTCGTAGTGAGACTCAGCCTCACCACGCGCACCTCCGGGGGCCCCAGTAGTGTAGACAGGTCGATCATGGGCAGACCACAGGGCGGGCCCTTCTTGCAACTATACAACACACCACGTTATCAGTGTTGAAACGTAGTTTTAAATTATTTTATTAGTTTACGTTGTTCCATAAATATAGCATGGTAATTACCACTGTTTTACTCTTTATATAAGTTTGTATATCATCTAACAATAATTTGTAACATTAGGGATATTCGATAAGAAAATTAAAGTTAGTTTGTGGAATAATTGCTTGGAAATATTGTTACATGTATCTAATGGAAGAGGGCCAGATGTTTAATTAATGTTTGTTTCTTTTGTGAATCATATGATAGGGTGGTTTCATTTGAAACTAAATGTACAAAAGTTGATTCGTTGATTAACACTATAGATGTCACAAAAAGTGTGTAAATCTCAGTAAAGGCACTCCGTACATATACTTGCTAACTAAATCCAACTGGAAAACAAAATTGAAAACATTTAGTTTGAAACATAAAAACGCACAGGTAAAACAAACTATTTGAACTGATGATAGAAAAATTACCATATATAAGGTCTTTTATTTCAGAGACAATATTAGAAATGTATAGCGACGTTGTACTGACAGAGTGCGCATAAAACATCGAGTCTCGCTGTGAGCTGTGAGTTAAAGCTTGGTGTGGTTCACACGATAACTGGTATTTATAAACCAGCAAACCAGCGGTTAAGTAAGCAAAGGCATGCAAACTCGGCGAGGTGAGATTCGCGAACGTCTTTGCACGGACATCGGCACTTAGCAGAGCAGTGAGTAGTGAGATGGTAGTGAGTAGATCACCTTGGAAACAACATATGAGTATGGTTGGGATGGTTTCGGGAATTGATTGTCTTAGATACCAATTGGGAATTCACACCAGAGGAAGAAATTGAGAACTGAGTTTCATCGAAAAGTTGGAAATGACAGTGAGTATGCAATTTGGAACCGTCAGTCACAGAAGTGGTTGATGACCAAATCTGGAAAAAACTCGTATCCCCGGATCAATTCGGGTCTTGGGACCACCCGGATGATATTGGGTGAGCCTCGTTCATGGCTAGGGATAGGTACAGTGTCAGTGTCATGATAGCTGATCTCCGAGGAGATTATGTAGATCCGTTGAGTGGAGAGCTGAGGTGCAACGGGAATGAAAAACATTCCGAGAAAGATCAGTAGTGATTTTGAATACTTGATTTTAACGATCGGACACAAAGTCAAGACACGTTACACAAACCATAGGAAAGCCATAAGTTTCTGAGAAAGCTAGCAGTATGGTCCCAGATGAAAACGGAAACCGCCAGTCTTGAGAACGAAGAGCCGATGACCAAATCAACAACTGTTCCAGGATGAAATATGAAACTGACCGTCCCGGGTGACTCCGGAGGCTGACAATCTCGAAAACTGATAACCTAGAATTGAGAACTTATTGTTCCGGATCAAATCAGAAACTAACGGTAGCGAAAGTTACCGAAAAGATTGAGAACCTTGAGGTACCTGAGACTGCAAGATCGGAAAGGGTCTGCTCGCCACTGGTCCACGCAGGTCATGTGCAGTAGTAGGTCCCGCCACTTGCCAGCCCAATGCTCCGATTCCTGCGTATAAAAAAACAAGAAATAAATATCTAAGACATCTAAGGATTGATATATTTATTTTCTCGAGCTCAACAATATTGTGTAATATATCCAGACATACCAATACGTGTAAACGTAATATCATAGACAAAAATAATTAAATAAAGACTGTCAGCCGTGCTGCGGTTACCATAGTTTCTGGCGAACACCGCTGGGAGTGCCGTTTAGTTACGCAGCGCGTACGCCGTAACTACATGGCGCTCAAAGCGGTGTGTAGCCAGAACCTGTGGTAACCGCAGCACGGCTGAGGGTCTGTATTTAATTCTTTTAGTCCATGGCAATATGTACTACCGTTTAAAAAAAATACTTATCTTTATGGTTTATCATTTATAAATACTTAACGTAAGAAATACTGTACTTCATTTCCTTTGCCTCTTGAAAGCAGGCTGCCTTTCTTGAGTACGTGTACTGGATATCCAAGTAAGAGAAATGTATTTCTGATATACATTCCCAATATGTTGTAGAAACAAGCATCTTTACCGCTAATAGACACATTTATGCCTATAAAATACTTAAATGAACTTTTAACTGGTTCTAACAATAAAAAACGGAGTAATAAATTGGAATATATCTTTTTTTCTTTTCACGTGTGTCTTCCATTCAACAACAAAACGACCAGAATCTTAAACAATAAAAAAAACCGAAAAATAGGCTATTGTTTAATCTTTAATTCTCGACGTTGTTAAACTTTGTTGTCAAGATTGTTGTTTACAATTTACCTCTTGGTGGGATTTTTGTAAAAACGTATAACGATGAATAATCAAACAAAGTTTGAAAATCAATTCAAATCACAAATGAATTAGTAAGCCCAAAAACGAGAGTACAAAAGTACAGACATTTTCTACTCGCCTGTTTTTAAAGTTTGTGCTGTTTTTATCATTAAGTTTGATCACATTTAATTTTAATTGTGATTGATGAGATGAAAATACAAATTCAGTTTTTTTAGTCTTATCTTATAATTTTTGTAAATAAATATTTTTGAGTACCAAAAATCCTAGACGGCAGTAGGCACACAGGCGCTCTTTCTGTTCTGGTTCTGCTTCGCTCCTTGCGCTGAAACATGTAGAGGAAATATACTTACTATGAGGCTAAACACATAATAACTGGTAATGTACAAATACCAACTGAAATGGGGAAACTACACTACCTAGGTAAGTATTTTAACCAACTATGAGTGAAGGATGAGTGTAAAATGGAGTGTGATGATATGTGTAGCTTTGTAACTGATTACGATCAGCTGTTTCATTATCCAGTGGTCAAGAACAGCTGGGTCCAGTTTCAAACCATAAAAAAGTACTGACTTATTTCAGGATATTACCGGCAACCTTTTCATTACTAGTTGAGCGAGCGCTGATTATGATTTTATTTAAAAAAAGATCATAAATGTTTGTTTCACAAGCTGCTTTTAGCGAATTTCCCTATAGAGAAGTAGCTATTGTAGGTCTCGTGGTAAGACTTGAGCCCAGGACCTATTTACTTTTTCATGTTGCTGTCCCCAGAGGCCAAAAACACTATTCGTTCTAATTGTTATCTATATGTGTGTGTCCGTGATAACTTGAGTAACTTTCTCCAATTTTGATGAAATTTGGTACAAAGTTGAAAGGCCGGATAAACTTGAATGAGTTCTTGTTTGAGTTTATTGTCATCCATTTGTGAGCTATGTTTCAAGTTTCAAGTCTCTAGCTCACCGGGAAGTTAGTTTAAAATTGATTGCAAAATTTTTACCGGACAAGAAAGTGAGCTAATAAAGACGTTTTAAAATAGGATATAGTGCATTCTGTGACAGTTTCACACAACTACGTCCTTTTCAATAAACGGTAGGCGACTGCTGGTACATTCAGGTGTTATGTTTACTTCAGTATCCAATAGTAAAAATACGTCTGCTCTTAGGTGGTTTTGCTGAGTACTATATTTCGCAAGGTTTGTCGGAGTCAGACACCAGAGATCGCTGCATCCAAGTTCCAAGGTGACCTTGGATCTGAGCGGTCGCGTGCAGACATCAACTTAGCTGAGTCGTTGAATCGCTCTCATCATATTTATTATGCTGCACTGTAATCGATGTTGCCGCCAGCCTAATGCAATCAGCCTCACGATTACTATTGAGAACTCTCACTTCGCCACTTCATCGACATCGCCACTTCATTGACTTCACCACTTCATCGACTTTGCCACTTCATCGACTTCGCCACTTCATCGACTTCGCCACTTCATCGACTTCGCCACTTCATCGACTTCGCCACTTCATCGACTTCGCCACTTCATCGACATCGCCACTTCATCGACTTCGCCACTTCATCGACTTCGCCACTTCATCGACTTCGCCACTTCATCGACTTCGCCACTTCATCGACTTCGCCACTTCATCGACTTCGCCAGTTCAACACTCAAGGATAAGTAGGGGCACAGCCAATAGACCATTAAAATTGGTCTATAGTCTGTGGTAGAGGATTACATTACAGATGTATACACATAAGTTGTCCTGTAAGTAAACATACACACTCCGGGAAATGGTTCGATGGGTCAAAATAAAGAGAAAATAAATCATGAAACCTTTTCTTAAACGGCTTTGTTAGCGCGATATCTGCTATTTTGTATTTTTTGCTTAATCATAACTGGTTCCAGGCTTCTGTTAATTTAACTGTTGGCAATATGTTTAATTATATGTCTTGCAGAAGAAAAGATGTTATAAATTTGCTCTAAAGTAAGATAGAAAACGTATAATCGAAGTCAAATATCTTTACCTTTTGAATAGATGTCATTTAAAAAAGCTCCAGAGAACTTATACTATAACAATTAGTTTGATCACAAGATAATATCTTGACAGTCAATATCTTGAAAGAACCATTCAAATCATGAAAATAATTCAATCGGACAAACCATAGTAATATTATGTTTTCAATATTGTTCACCGCGCCGAACGTAATTAAACGCTTCTTGATGTTTAAAAGTCTGAAAAATCTACTCAAAATTACTTCCACATGGCTGATACACAATTAATTGAGCGAAGCTCACTTTCCCTCGCTTTGTAACTTCTTTGTAAGGGCATCAGAATGTAATGGCTTGAGCAATTGATATGAAATTTGGCCAACAGTTAAAGAATACTGAGCACAATGTTTTGGTAAAAAATATTTGCAAATTTCCTTCTGGATTTTATTTTACGGGTCACGCAATTTCGCTTGTTATTCTAATGTAAGTTGAAAGAAAAATTATATTGGGTTTATGACATATGGGTTTATCTCGTTTCATTTAAATAAGATAAACATATGATAATTGTTTGTAACTGTTTTGTTTACATTTCAATGTTTACTTTCATCATAGGTTAAAGTTGGAATGTAACAGTTTATCAATGGAAGTAATAGTTTTGCTATATTTGTTTTGAGCAAATGAGCATGCCTCAAAGGCCACGTCGTAATATTGGTCGTCGCACCGATAATGCAAATATTGTAAGAGAGTGGCGTCGTGAACAAGAAGAACCAGATGAAGCAGTGGCGGAAGAAGCTGATAATGATAGGCAGTTAGCTAATCAATTCCAACATGAATTAGATGCACAAAAATGTTACACTGACCTGACGATTGTAGAACAAATGTTGATTGCACGAGTACATCCTGCTATGCCCATTTACAAAGTAGGTACAAGCAAATGGTCAGGATGGCCAGTTTCACTACAAAGGTGCAGTATAAACTATCAGATAAATTTGTCATTCTTTAGAATTGAAATAATATCGGGCAAACAAACGGTGAATCTGTTGAAAGGGAACATATATTGAAGGGTGCTTTAGCCATTGACAATCTTTAAATAATGCTTCGCTCATTTATGCGTCTAAAGTGTAACGGCAGACAACCCTAGTTATTATACTATTCATTGTGACCCTTAGTTGGAATATATTATAAGGTGATAAGCTAATTTTTTTTATTTCATCAACACAATTCATAATTTTCTTTTGGTATAAATAAATATAGCTTTGGCATCATCCTAAAAAAATCCTAAGGTCAACTTTGACAAATAATACCTAATATAGACAGTTCCAAGGTTAAAAAACAACAATAATTAGACAATTGGGTACTTTTGTTTATATGAGTAGACAATTTGCCTACTCGTATCTATGTTATAAGGATGGACTATATCTTATGTTAGGTTAGGTAAAAGATTTTGTTATTTAAACTAATTACATCTTTGTTGTAAGTAGATTTATCGGTGTGGTCGGTACAATACCAAAATACCAAATACCAACAATAATATACAACCCAAAAACACCAAAAAGGTCTATACTTCGACAAGACATTTTTGGCTCCTTCAACATATAGACGACTGCCCGCTTTACAGATGTGTCCGTAGATTGCCGTTCTGCCTCAGTCCGGCCCCAACTTGGATCTACCGAGAATTTCACACCAATTGATTCTAATCCTGCATAAATTGCTCGCTTATTAGATTGTACACTTCCATCACGGAGAGTCACCAGGACTTATAATGGATTTTACCTCGAGTTGTGGGACATTGATATTTCGACGAAAATGCCATATTCTGCAAGAACTCACATGATTGGAAACTAAATGATTAAAGATTCAAAGGAGTGGAGTTTTTTCTATCACATTCAAACCCCTTAATGTATATTAAAATTTTGTCAATAGATATTTAAAATATTGAGCGCTTAGAGTTTGTTTACCCTGCGATGGAGGAGAAATGCACAACCGATAAGAAAATAAACGGTATCAGCAATCTGACACATACTTTCTCCCATTAGCTTGTCAACAGCGATTATAGTAATTATGATATTTAATAGGTATAATCACAAAAATTGCATCAACTTTTGAACCATTATTTTTACAGCACTGTTTTTTTATGGACCATAAAAGAGGTACTAATTTTAATCTATTTTACACTAGAGCAATCTGTGACTGGCTCACACAACCACAAGAGTTTTTAGTAAAAAATTGGCAACTGATCCATATAGATGG